ATAAGCTTTGATGATGAGCTGCATTTATAAACTGTGCAGGTGCAAAATTAGCAAATTCAGTGCAAAGTAAAGCATGAAAAAAGCTGTTTGCACAATGAAGTGCTCAGGAAGTTTTCACATAATTACAAATGTGCAAAAGGTACCAAAACTGTGCAAAGAGTTTCCTGTTTATTTCTGCTGCACATCCTAACACAGTCGTCTGTGAGTTTTCCTCTTGATGGACACCAAATGCTCCCAACTAAAACTACAGAGACACACCCTTTAAAAGAAGTATCCTGACATTAGCTCAGTGTGGTCATTTGGAGTTTTTTGAATCCCCAAAATTAAACAACAGTCAGCAAAGGAGAACAAAGTGTTATTTGGCTGATTAAAAGCTGTCAGCAGGTTATTGTCAGAGAAAATACACTTCATCATCATTCTTTAGTCAACAACAGGGCGGCGATGCTTAGTTTTTATACATATACATGAATGTGAGCACTGAAGTGCAGCCATATGTTTAACATCGACTGTAGGAGCAACAAATGCATTCAGTGACCTCTGATCTGCTGTTTGCCCTGAAGCAGATACTTATCAGTGGCGGTTAGTGCAGACAAACACTGTGACCTTCTGCAGAGCGCACACACACACACACACACACACATTGATAAGTCATAGATAAAACACTGTCTTCATTGTGCTCTGAGTACATATCAGATTTGATACTTTGGGTTATAGATGGAGCATGTTTAAAGGCTGTGCCAACAACAGCCTGATGTAGTCGACATCGTTAAAACGTTAAGCTCTCATATTCAGTTACACTTTGTAAACCATGTTTAATCCACAACACCCTTCTTCCAGCGTCTCAGTGAGCTATGAACAGCATGAATCTATGTATTAGAAGACGGCTGCAGCCAAGACGAAGCTGCGCTGTCCTGGAGTTAAACCTCTTTGACAAACAAACGGTGACTTTAACAGAGAAACTGAGGACACTGCAGAAAATATGGTGGCAGCTTGTAGCCACAAGGTAAGCTTGCCCTCAATCGTGCACCGCTTCATCCTGCTTTTTAACTCTAACAGGGATGTTGCAAAATGATTGTGATATTATGTTCAATAATACTTAGAACCAGCAACGGATACCATAAACTCCTGAGAAAGTGTTTGCTGAGTAAACAGTAGAGAAACAGGTGCACACAACCAACCACAGGTGGAAACAATCTGAATGAGGACAGACGGGAAACTAACACGAGACGCTAAAAGACACTAACGCTGACAGGTATGGCGTTATTTTTGTGCCACTATTCTGAGCGCACGTAAACAAACGTTTGCAGGTGCAAGTGTCGCATTTTGAGGAGAAATTTATTTTGAGCAAAGAAAAGCTGAATGTGAGTGAATAAAATTCATTCCTGCTGCAAAAACTGTATTTCAGTGTTTGCTATTATCCACACACACACACACACAACAGCAGCCCCTCTCACTTTTTGCATTTGTGCTCGCTCGCAATGTGTTGCTCGTGCTCTCAACATTTTTGCCCGTGCGCGCTCAACTCTTTCTATATACCAGAGGTCCCCAATCCCAGTCCGCGATGGCCGGTGTCCTGCAGGTTTTAGATCTCACCCTGGGTCAACACATGATTAGTTCATTACCAGGCCTCTGGAGAACTTCAAGACATGTTGAAATAAATGGATTACATGGCGGTACTTCCCTGTTTCATATTGTGGCGGGTCAGGACTGTTTGGGTTTTGTTTGACAGCTACGTTCTGTTGTTCCAGGC